CCTCAAATCAAAGAAAATATGATTTAGAAAGTGTCCCACATCCACAAGGAGCTTGAATTCCTTTATTATTGATACCAAACATCCAATCAATATTGTGTTTGGAAGTAGTGCTCGGAGTTGATCTATGGTGTGATGTAATCCTAGGATTCTACCATATATTGATTGATATTTCATCCACTTTCTAACCTCAGTCTTTTTTCTTAATTAACATCAGAAAAAAGAACAAGTACGATAAGACTCAGCTTTTACCCAAGCAGACTGGCAAACAAGTTCTCATTGCACCCATTGTGAGATTCCTAACTTAATAACAGGCTTCATCCATGTAAAATGCTGATTAGGTGACAACAAGAAAGAAAGACGACATGTAGAAAATGCATGTGGAAATCAAAACATATATTAACTCAAATTTGTAGCATATAAGATGAATAACCTTGTTGGCGATCAATGTCGTTCAAAAATTTGCACCATTCAACCTACCCATGGTTTGCGTAAAGTAAAGAAGCTCCACAGCTTGTAGACAATTCTTTTTAAGAAAACAATTTAGCAGTTCACTGGGATTTGGGACACTATACTATATTGTATTTAATTTCTAGATGGGTTAGAAGAACTACTTTATCATCTCATCCTGCTGCTAATGTTCAGTCCAGCAAACAATTACAGATTTGACACCTGGGATCGCATTCAAAGTTCTCAAAGGTACATGACCCGAAGGAAATCATAAGTGCAATAAAAATATAAGAGCTCAGAGTTCTAAAAGAATACTTAAGAGAGATCATAATTATACTTTTAGCAGTATGCTGACAAGAAAAATCTGAAATCAAGATCTACTTAAACCATACAAGCACTCACTAGAACATATTGCCATTTATTTTTTTTATATAACCGTGGATGTTCGGGTCAGCTTGCGCACACCTCGACTAATTCCATGGAACCCTAAAGTTTACGGTCGGGTACTCACCTCAGTGGCCCTAAGGGGACTCGAACTGGTGACCATTGGGGAGCAAACTCAAGGCCTAACCAATTGAGCAACCCCTCAAGGTTCACATTGCCATATATGCATCAACACATATACACCAAATCAAGTCTCCACTTCAACAATCACAAGACTGACAAAAATCATGCATTTAGAAGCAATATTCTTAATTAAACTTCAACAGCTCTAATATGTTGCTCTTTCTAAAGGGCCAGATACAAAATTAAATTGATGAATCTGAACAGTTAAAGTAATAATCAATTTACTCACTTAAATAAGCTTAACAACAATCACAAGAGTGAACTTGGACCATAATCACAAGAGTGAAACCCTTCGCCTTCCAAAAGCTTTCCATGTGTCTAAACAAGTAAAGAAAATGACATAAATAACCAAGTCATAATAAATTGAAAAATTATTTTTTTAATGAAAAACCACAAATAATAAAATTACTTTATAGGAAATCAATGCAAAAGAAAAACAATGCAAAAGAAAAACCTAGTCTTTTTCAAAGGAATTGAATCAAAGGAGATCATAAAGAACTTCGTAGAAGGTTTTCGAAGGATCCTCATATCATATGCTTAATCTCGAAAATCAACGTGGAAGACCAATTGTATGGTAAATAAACTGCAGGAAAACATCAATATTCAGCAAAAATGCAGCGAAA